CTGTGCTCACAAGATGGATGGAGAAACACAAGTGAGTCACCCTGTGCCATGATTTTTCAATTTAAGGAAGGCCATTCCGATCTGCACCCTTCCTTATGTGGTCACTGCTCATGTGGCCATCTCATCATGTTTCATTTTAACTTAAGGCATCATCCAAATTTCAGCAAAACCTCAGACAAGAGTTTCTATAGGAGGAGAAGATAATTTCCCTTAAGTTTCCTACAGTTTTGTTCTCTGTATACACTGACCTACATTGAGAGTAGGCACAGGATAGATTCTCAGTCAGTCTTTCATGTAATCTGAACTCTTTTGGGATTGATGGCTTCATGCAAGTTTAATTTTGTGACTATCTATAGGAATAAGATGTTAAGATTTGCTGTATTCTGTCTTTTAGATACATATAAATCATATTTCTCAGGATGGATTCACTCCTGATTCATATTCATATTGTTCTCTCAACACGTGATCTACAGTTTTAAAGGGTTTGTTTCTTTCTTTTAAAGCCAACACCCCCTGAAGTCATGTAGTCAACTGAGAATTTAAGTTTTTACTATAATAGTTTCTCACTCTTATCACTAAAAATGTGGAAAATGTGAAGCCTAAGGATACAGAAAGAGCAAAGTTAAAGCAATAAAGGTGCCAAATATATATGGTCTTTTAAATGCCATTGCTTATTAACAATTGCGAGGCTGGAGCCTGTGCTAGGGTGTCTGCTGTGGGCGAGACCCACACTGTAGAGAAGGATGCACCAATAATGACTCCATCGCTGACTGCCTGGCTGAACTTGTAACCCACCACGGACTGCCATAACCTATGAGTTGCTCTACCCTGTGTAACCTAGTCCTGTCTGAGATGATGGCTTGTTCAGAAACATTCAAAAACTCTTGATCTGAAGGTAAGGATTGCCAGGCTTCCCTGTCCTTCCTGTGAACGGTCTCGTGACGGTCTCAGAGTATGGAACAGCAGGAGTCTATGGGCAGGCTGTGGATACACTGCCCTTCAGGCTCAGAGGTGATGTGGATGATGGGGACTTTCAGGTCAGGTTTCTCCACTACAGGCATCCTTGATGTGATGACACAGAGGAAAGAACCCCATTCACCTTTATATGCTGCCCACCCTTTTGTGAGAACCTAGTGAGATTTTGAAGCCCATCTTTCCATATTCTCACAAGGATTTCTTGGAGACTGACCATACTTTGATCACAGCTAAGAAGCAGATTCTCCAATTCAACTTCCTCCCTTGATCTTGCACTTTTTTTCTTGAATATCCCTGAAGCTCCAGGTCCTCTGTCAGAAGCACCCACGCTAATGGAGATTATGCAGGCCAACGACTTGTGGGACAGGAAAGAGAAGAGGGCTCATCGCTTTCCAAGTGCCACGTCTAGCACTGACTGCCAGCCCCATCATGATCTCATTCCAGCACATGCAGTCTCACCACAGGTCGCTGTTTTCCAGCATCAGCGTGGCTTCCACTCCTAGGGCATAAACTGGAGAGGACTTTTTCTATAACGTTACAGCAAGTTGGCATCCTGCACTCATTCCAGATGACACGTGCTCCCAGCTGACTTATGAGAATAGGGTAGGAAGGGAGAAAGGGATGGTGGATAATTTCTCCAGGTAAAGAAGTGATATAATACCAGGCAATAAATAGCACAACGTGCTGAGGATGGCCACAGATCTACCAATATTTTTGCCTTGGAGTCAGTCAGTAAGCCCAGTCTACCTCCCACTCTATCTGGATGCAGCATCACACTAAATGATATTGCATTTCATATAATATATATGAATAGATACTTTCCTCCCGCCCTCAGCCATGGTTTCTTTCCCACCTTTTTCATGCACATATGGAGAGTATGCAGAAGTCTCACCACAAGCCCTTTGCCCCTCTCCCAGACTCTTGAACATTTCCCCTTTGCTGACCTACAGTCTCAGGGAGGGCTTCAGAGCACATGTCCTCCTGCGATACAGGAATGAAAGATGAGTTTTGATGCATGATGCAAAATTGTAAACTTTAGAGCAGCTGCCTTAACAGGTACTGGCTAGCAAAGATGTCTATACCTGCAGGAAAAGACTATGAGTATGGTCAATGTGTGAGAGCAGTCTGATCTTAGGAAGGAATGATGTGCTTGGGATTTATGGTTTGCTTTGGGTTTTTTCTTCTCAGCCACATCTCGAGAGCAATCCTCAAAGTGGTCAATTCCCATGTTGCATCAACCCCCAGATAGCACAAGGATCATCTGCCTAGCTCCTTACATGCATGGCCAAGAAAACAGAGGGAAGTTGCTGCTGCCACCATTCTTGAGCAGCTCCTGCTGCAGATGTGCCAGACAGCCGGACACAGCCCTCATAGGAATTTTGAGTTGCTCTCTGCTGGCCAGAGGACCAGGAAGAGGAGAGCCAAATGCTGCCAGCAAGGAAAGCGACGGCAGATGAAAAGCCATATAACCTTGGCTCATGGAGACATGCAGGGCAGCCAGCATGGCCTGTGTTGGTGTCTGCCTGTGGCCAGCACCAACAGAGTGACTGCAAGCCATGTGTGGACTATGGTGGAGGGTTTGGACCTTACTGTGGAGCCAAACTTGGTACTGACTTGGTCCTGCACCTTACTCAGGTGCAGAGGCTCTCTGGGCCAACTGGTTACTCCTCTATCAAAAGAGTTCTGTTTACACTTACATTGTGCCCCAGTGTACCAGAAAATGCTGAAAAATTGGAGCAGTTGCCCCTTATTTCATGGAGGTTAGTTAAGCAGAGGAGTCTCAGCCTGCTGCTGCTGAGGGAGATGTGAGAAGTTAACATGAGCTCTCCCATTACAAACACCAGTTTCTCAGCAGAAGGAAAATTCATTGTTGCTGTAAAGCACATTCTTGGGAGCTGAGAAAAGGTGGCTGGGGAGGAATCAGAGGAGCTTAGAAAGTGGGAAGGTCTTGGGGTCTCTTTCTCCCTCTTCTTTTCTTTTCTTCCCCATCTTTCCTTTCACTGCCCTACAAAAATGGGCTCTTCCAGCATCCTTAAGCAACAGGGCATGTTTTATTCCCATACAGCCACATATCTTCTCCTTCTTCTCTTCCTACCCTCTCCAAGGAACCATCCACCTTCCCTAATTGATTTCGACTGGATAGGTTTCTCAAATTTGCAGGGAGTGGGAGAGCGTGGGGAAATATGCCTGGGCCTCGTTAGCACAGGAGGAAAAGGGGCAACGCAGGACTGGGCTGGGCTTGGAAGGTGGTGGAGAGTCCTGTTGTCAAGGTAGTAGGGCAAGACAGCAGGAAGCTGTGGGGAAAAACAACTTCTCGGCATCAGCCACCCTGTTCCTCATTAGGAGCCCGCCCTGTGGCAGCAGCAGTTGCAGAAGAACACAGAAGCACAAAACGGTCATAGTGCTGGCATTGTGCCATGCAGAGCAATTACCAAAGTCAGTAGGAGAAGCTGTGTAAGTTGGTGGCACCACTAACATCGTGCATTCTCACTGAACATGACCTTTAGTAATTTGTGTAACTCAGACAGCATATTCCTTTCCTTACAGATAACTCTAACATCGTGCATTCTCACTGAACATGACCCTTAGTAATTTGTGTAACTCAGATAACATATTCTTTTCCTTACAGATAACTGTCACGGGCGATAGGACAAGGGGAAATGGCCTCAAGTTGTGCCAGGGGAGGTTTAGATTGGATAACAGGAAACATTTCTTCGCGGAAAGGGTTATCCAGCGTTGGAATGGGCTGCCCAGGGAAGTGGTTGAGGCACCATCCCTGGAGGTGTTCAAAAGACGGGTAGACATGATCTGCAGGAATATGGTTTGGTGATTTTTTATTGCTTATTTCTTACTTATTTTGTTGTCAGAGTTAAGTTGATGGTTGGACTAGATGCTCTTGAAGGTCCCTTCCAACCTAGACGGTTCTATGATTCTAACTATTGCTCCTGCAACATCCAGAAGCCACATAAGGAGGCTTCAACCATTGCATGAGGGAGAAAAGGTAAATAAAATACTGTCCACTACATCTGACAGTAGGTACCATTTTTATGTGAATAGTTTTAAATACCATTGATGCTGACGAGTCAACACGGGTGATCAAAGGTTGCAGAATCATTGCTCTCATTTTGTGAGAGTAGTTATTTTCCTTGATTTTTAATGCTTCCTGCATCTGTCTTAATCTACTATGCTGAAGATGAGTAATGTGAGGGAAAAAATAGTGTCATTATAGATTCTAAAAACCAAAATTCTTCAAATGCTACTTATGTAAAAAAGGACCGATTTAAATCAAATCATTAGCTTCTGCTTAAATGTTCAATTAGAAAAGTGTAATAATACAAATGTTTTATGTATTCACAGCTCTTGTCTTCAAATTTAACCTTTCTTCCACTTTGGCTGTTATTTCTCCCTTTTATAAATGTTGGAGTAATTACACCCATTTTCTCTTTAGAAGTGAATATACAATCACAGCTAGAAATTGCCCAGTATGTTTTACAGTCTGAAACCTGTAATACTCAATCTCATGACTAATAACTACCATGGTATGTTTTATAATTACACCATAAATCAGACTGCCACATTTAAAGCGTAACTTTAGGCTCTTTTGCAATATTTCTTGGCGCTTTTGAAATATGCAGGGATGGAAAATGCATGATCTAGCTACATACAACCATAGATGAGGAAAAAGAGTCTTTCTCCAGTTACTGGAGTGCCCCAAAAGAGATGCTAGAGCGTAGCAACTGTAGCTCATGGGATACCCAAGCTGCCTCTGGCACCCTACTGGAGTGCCCCAAAAGAGATGCTAGAGCATAGCAACATGCCTGTAGCTCATGGCATACCCAAGCTGCCTCTGGCACCTCAGTGAGAGCATGTTGTCTGAGCAGATGTTGCAGTCCAGCAATTAAGAGGGGGAAAAAAATCAACCCATGGCACAATCTTGCAGCATGAGCAATCCATTAGCAACAAGTACTCTGTGGCTTTTGCAATATGGTTTCTTGTTTAAATCTTTGCAGGGAGGTTATGTTTGGGAAGGACTAAGCTGAGAGGAGGAGAGTGAGCATCTGCGGTGAAAGCTGGAGGAAAAGCTCTGCCAACTCACACAGCGTCTCCCGGTACCTCTCTCAAGTGCTTCTGAAGCTCCTGACAGGTAAATGATGGACTCCCACAAAATTGGGTGAATTTTTCACCCAAAGCTTGTTTCTGTTTGAAGGAGAATATTTTATTATTCATTCTGGTTTTACTGCATATGGTTTAGGTGTTATTTTAGCCCTTCCAGTGGAGGCAAAAGTTTGTATTGTTTTTTTTTTGTAATTTTGCCTTCCAGTGGAGGCAAAAGTTTGTATTGTTGTCTGGGATAATTTCCTAGGGGGACAAAATCCCCAATTAATAGCTTAGATGCAGAGAGGCTTTTTAATCCCTTAATAAACGTTGAAGCTTTTGGTATACTAGACCTTGATATCTGCATCTCCCTGCTGGACTGCCGCCAGGGGCTTGCTGGGCCCCGTTACAGCCTGACATCTGGGCTCGCTCTGAAATGATCAGGAGAGCCTCTTCCCTGTAGGATGCAGCAGCCCAGCACAGTGACTAATGCCTTGTTTGCACCACCCGAGTTCTGCTGGTAATTTAATTAAAATTGGCACATCCCTCACACGAGCTCACACTAATTTGGTTTCTGCTAATCAAACTCTGAATTTATGCTAGTTAAGTTTTATCATCTCCCCAAATGGCACACGTCCTGTAATGACATCTGGCCGCATTTCGGCTGCTTAATACAGGCATCAAGACTGCTCTCTGATTAAGAGAGCAATGTGTGCTACAGGCTGCCCCAGGCTCCCAAAACCATCAACAAGGAGAAGTTATGGCAAAGCCTATGCATGTACAGAAAACCTATGTGATCTCCTATGCCCACTGCTATTATTCATACTGGAGCTCATGCCATATAGGAACCCTGGAGCCACTTGCTACTGATCCAAGTAAACTTGTTTCTTTAGAAAATAGGATGGGAAGCTACAGAGGAATGAAGAAAAGCTTTGGGAACAGGGAGGCGTGGTGGTACCCCAGGGTGAAGAAGCCGGGGACCAGGGCTGGCTGTGTCACCTTCTTCTACACCTCCTCCCTGTGAACCCAAGGCATACGAGTAAGGTGTATCCCCTTGCACTGTCAGCATCCAAATGCTGGCATAAGTATTACAGATAAAGGTTATAGTATCATAGAATCATAGAATGGTTTGGGTTGGAAGGGACCTTAAAGATCATCTAGTTCCAACCCCCCTGCCATGGGCAGGGACATCTCCCACTAGAGCAGGTTGCTCAAAGACTTATCCATCCTGGCCTTGAACACTTCCAGGGATGGGGTTTATATCCTGGCCTTGAATGCTTCCAGGGATGGAGTTCACACTTGGTGAACAGGAATTTCATGGAAATGTGGTGTCTTCTCCTGTTCATGCCCCTGGAGGGGCATGAAGTCCAGGCCCCTTCATGCTACTTGAAATGTGGTGTCTTCTCCTGTTCATGCCCCCCTGGAGGGGCATGAAGTCCAGGCACCTTCATGCTACTCCATAAATGATGTTGAAGGGACTTACCTAATCATTCAGCTACACACTCTCTGGCTTCAAACATGTTTTTGCTACTAGTGGAGCATCTTGAGCCCTGTTCACAGTATGTCTATACTACAATGATCAATCTGTCTTGAACAAGAACCTGCGTGATTACCCCAGTCATGGCTGGTACCTCTGTCTTACAGCTCATGTAAGCAAACCAGCATCTACATTAGAAGTTTAAAATCAACTGTGAGGACTGGCATTTGGGAATAGCACCACTTATTTATGAAGGCCAGAAGGACAGTGCAATGTAGACCTGGTGCATTGACTCGTAGCAACCTTTACCAGAATATGGCCTGGCACTTTCAAGATTTGCTGTGGGGAGTTTGAAGAAAGGAAGCATGCGTGTTGTAACTTCTCGGAGATTGCACTGCCATTATCACCAGTTGTGCAAGTCAATAAATAAGAGAACTAATATAGGCTAGAAATTTCCAGAATTATACGTTTCATGGTGCGGTTGCTTTTGCTGTGTGTTATTGCTGGCTGGATCAGTAATTGTTATTGGGGTGAACATGGGAAGGTAGGCCCAGGGAAAAAGAGGCAGGGGGGACTGTAATGGTAGTGATGCAGAATTACAGGCTCCTGGGCTGTAGGGCTGTTAACAGGATTTGGATCAAGCCACCTATTCCAGACCATTCGCTAAGATTCTTACCCCTTACTGCACTTAAAATATCTCAGTAGAGGGAAAAGGAGCAGGTCCTGCACTTGTAAGGTGTTTCCAGACCCTCAGCAATAGCAGAGGCTTTATAAACAGAGCACACTGGCACCTGCCTCCCATTTCCCCACACAGCCCATGAACAAAGTTACATCTTAAAAGCTGGCTCAGAGAAAAGGAAGCCTGGCCTTTGCAGTTTGTCATATTTTTTTTTAATATATTTCTTTGGAAAAAAAGGAGCATAACAGTAAGGCCAAAACTGCTTTCAGTTGCAAACATTCAGCTTGCAGGTGTGGGCAGAGTTTAGCCTAAAATAATTGGAAGCAAAAGAAAGAAGAAAGGCAGCTTAAAAATGTGATGTCAGCAGGAGAAAATAGACTCTGTGGGGCACTGGTTTTCTAAAGCCTTGTTCTTTAATCAACACAGCTCATTACTGTAACTATGCATGATGTTGCAAATGGCATTTGGATGAACGCGTTTTGTCTTTCCATTGTGCTCACTAGTTACCAAATTGTCTGCCCAAATTGCTGAACCATGCATATTGTGTCAAAGAAGAGGAAAGCAGCAGCCTCCCTTTGTCGGGGTGGACAGCCTGTGCCAAGCTCTGACACTGATTTTCAACTTCCTCCTGTTTAGAGCCCCACGAATTCTCCTGCGGACGTACAGGACTTTGTATAGATGCCTCTTCCCCCTGCAGGGATAATCATATTGCTTTCTTTCCTCCCACACTCCGCAGCGTACACCTGACTCTGAGGTCTGCAGACCACATCTTGGAAATTCCTCTCCCAAGCGATTTAATTTTGGACATTTACAGTTTCACTTCATTCTTTTTTTTTTTCTTTTTTTTTTTTTTAAAAAGTTACTTTCGGTTCAGTCCTTAAGTTGTGCTGATGTTACTATTGCAATGCAGGGGACAACCCATCCTGCAACTGAGGTTGGAGAAGGAAGTGACGGTGTGCCTGAGATCAGCCAGCACCGTGTGACCACACACGATATTGCACGGCGCATCACAAGTTCTGGCTCCCAGCTCAATTCACTTTGGTGCCTCAACAGGGGATTAAAGGCGGCTGGACCCTCCACGCTTCTTTCCTGTAACAGGTGTCTCAAGGTGTTTCTGGGGGGGAACTAAGACATTTTAAGCTGTCAGTGGTTGTATAGGCTTTGTTTTGAGGCACAATGCAGGCTGAGAATGCAGTCGTATGGGCTGACACTGCACCATGCCTTCTAGAGATAAAAAGGGTTATGGGCCATTTTTGCCCCATTCTGATTGTGTAATTTCCAGCATAATGCCATATGTATTATAGCATTCATTAGAGAAATAAATTAGATTAATCAGGAGTTGTGCTGCTGCAAACTTTGGTCATACTTTTCGGCTGTTTTCACTGTTCTGTCCATTGGAGTTGTCAGGGGAAGTGAAAAGGGTCCCACGTTGCTGCTTCGGTTAGGAAAATTCCCCTTAACTGACTGTTGTGTTTCCTTTGTGTCATGCAGTAGCAAATTTCCCTTCAGTCTCACTGGAGGAAGAGGAAAATGAGAAGCAGGCTGGGATTATAAATGATATCCCAAAGGTAAAGGAAAAAGATGACTGAAATGGGACTGACTTCAGGGTTTGAATATCTTTTATTTAATGTGTAATTTTGTGGTGGTCAAACACTGTCACAGGTTGCCCTGAGAGGCTGTGGAGTTTCCAAACTTGGAGATATTAAAAACCCAACTGTACACACTCCTGGGCAACCTCATCCAGGTGGCTCTGCTTGAGCAGGGGGTTGGACCATATGATCTCTGGAGGTCCCTTCCAACCTCAGCCACTCTGTGATGTAGATATTTTCTTCGATTTTTCTGGATGGGAGAATGAGCTAAAAGAACAAAAGGAAAGTTAACAAAATCCTTCCCCTTTTCAGTCTAATAGCATTAACTTCTGTTAACCTTTCTAACTGTTGCCCACCTTGTGAACGTGAGCAATCCCCTTAGTTGGGCTGGATTGTATCAGCACCAGAGGTAATTCTTCAGCCCATCCAGGCTACCTCTGAAGTTTTCCTTAGTGTGGAAATGAGGGGGCAAGGAAGAAGGACTGATGTCTGCCTCCCCACGGGGTCAGGATTTGGCCAAAGTGCACACCTCACCCTGGAACTAGGAAATGCTGCTGGGATGTTTAATGTAGATGCAGGTTATGCATGCATGAGGGAGGAAGCTGTGGTCTACTCATAGAGAAATGTCTGTGGGAGGAGGTTTAGTAGCCATGCTGAGCAGCTGCTCGTGTTGAAGAGAAAGACAGGACAAGGTTTTAAATGAAGCCTGCACATAAGGCAGGTTAGCCCATACCAAAATACGTGTGTGTTTGCAGGGCTGGGTTTTCGAAGCGCTTGGCCTCAGGCTCTTTGGCTACATCTGTGGACAGACACAGCACTGCTTCTATCATTTAAGGCACTCTGGTACCCAGGGCAATTTTCAGCAACAAGTTAGGCATCTGAAGATGATGTCCCTAAGAAGAGGTGTCTCAAAGCACAGGCGAAATAGGTGAATGCCTGGTTAGAGCTTCCTGGGGAACAGCTGATCTCCTCCTATCTCTTTATACCTGCCTGTGCCCTCCCAAAATTTCACAGAATACTGCTAACCCTACTTCTCTCTCCCTCTGCTTGTGCTGCTAGATTTAACTTTGCATTTCTGAGGCAATGAAACTCAGTTTTGCCTGACAGCTGAGAAGTTCTGAGCTGGCTCTGCAGACAGGCTGGACCAGCTCAGAACGGGGTCTTCTCAGCATCATCACTGGTGAGAGGAAGAGGATTATGTGTCCAGGGACAGGAGCAGAGGAGAGTACACAGTGTGAAAGAGGACCTTTCAGTAGAGTTAGAACCATTCAAATCAGTGTTTAACTTCACCTATAGACCCATGCTGATCTCTACCTGGAAGCACCTCGGAGTTGGATAAAACTTTACGAAACTAGGCTCAGTAAAAGGCTGCGTTTCTTAAAGTTTTAAGAGTGACAGTACAAGATTGCAATTATGAAAAGACTTGGTATTTTGTTCCCTAATCCAGGAGGTTCCCAAACTTCATACATATGCTACTTTTTCACTTCACAATTATCCAGTGGCCTCTACTCATGCTCCTCTGGGGTCTGCTTCCTTCCTGATGGGATGGGCAGGGATTCCTCACTCACTGTCTTGTGGTAGCTTGGGTTTCCCACAGAAGAAGAACCCCTAAGCTGGTGATGGGAGAATTGCCTCCTTCCTCAAAGGAGACACCCCTGCTCGAGATGCAGGAGACCTGCTAGGAGAAATTATGGCCTCACATAGCGATTCATGCTGTTAAAATACTATTAAATACCAAGAGCTGCCTTAATCCAATTTATGGCCTAAAATTCCTATGGCACACATTTCCCATGTCTGAATTGTATGTAGTATAGAGGAGACATATAGTGAAAACTAAAAACCAAAACAAACCAACAACAGATTGTTTAAATTAAAACAGGCTTTGCCATCCTGTGGTCTATTATTGGGATGATTGCTCTTCCAACCAGTAGAGTTCTCCATGGACTACTGTGGTTCCCCAAGGTCAGCCTGACACACCTGATGACCTCTTCTCTCCATGCTACCAAACATAAGACACTCAAATTAATATATCAGCTTCTATCTAGTAATAAAATATCACATACATCAATTTACGCGATACGTGAATGTGACCGGCAAAGTCCCATCGGACAAGTCCCAGCAGTTTATAGTACAGTTAGTCAGAGGAAAGTTGAAAGTGAAGAAAAAGGAACAATTCCAGGCAGAGGAGGAAATGGGCAGGACAAGATGAGCAAGAAAAAAGGCCTAATATTTCTTCCCCCGCCCCAGACATACACATATAAATAGGGAGATAGTGATTTCCCCTGCTCGTTGGGTGATACTCTTTGGCTGCATCTCTTTGGGACCACGCACCATCCCTCCAAGATGTGGGCAAAGGTACTGTCTTGTTTCTTTGTGCTCTAAGATGCACTTTTCTGTTTAAGCTTCTGTGTCCTCACTCTATATGTTTCAGTAGGTATACCTCATACCATGGGCTATGTGGTTCACCTGCTTTAAATGACTTGTGTTCCTCAAAATAATCTTAATGCTTTAGTACAAATCTGAGCAAGAACTTGTCTGAAATAACAGGTACAATTCTGGTCACTGTAGCCAGAAAAGAGAAATTCAATGTGAACAACGCAATAAAAAGCTATTAGCACAGTAGGGGTGAGTCTGTATTATAAAGGAGAGAGCAGCACAGTTTGGTTTGTTTAACTTCACAACATGAAGACCAAGAGGAAATATCATCACTCTGTGTGGAGATGTGCAGGGGAATACAGGAATGGGAAGGAGGAGGGGAAATGAAAGGAGACAATTTCCAAAGAGACAGAAGAGCAATATGTAGTAATGCCAGTATATATATATCTATATAAAAAAGCAAGTGTGTGTATAGACTGGTTGTAAATAATATTTACCTCCACAGGGAGAAGTTTCTAATGGTCAGAGAGGGGAAGTTCTAGATTAGCTTCTAATAGAGATATTAACAGCAGCTAACAGCTCCAGCCAGGAAGCAGTCTAATTTGCATAATAGGTCAATGCTCAATAGGAAAGGAGAGAAAAAAAAGATTAGAAATATAATTCCCAGATCAGCAGGAGCCAGGAACAAGGAACCAGTGCTTTTCAAAGAGGTGAGATCGCATCTTGGAGAAAAGCTGGGAGTCCAGCTGAGTGTGAATTCAATGGGAGCTGGGAGCCAGCAGCGGCGGGTGCAGGGTAGTGTTGCCAACTCCTGTCTCCTGCTGAGCTCCAGGCTCAGCAAGACCTGGGATAGTAATTCTGCTACTCAGGGAGATTAAATCTGGTGTGGTAGTTGTTGCACTAGATTGAAATGCTGCTTTCCCACTGATTTGAATAGCAATAAGAAGGTGCTATGGAAAGCCAGATGGTTTTTGCTTCAACTTGTGTTATATATATATATATATATAATATATATGTATTTTTGCTTCAACTTGTGTTATATATATATAATATATATATGTGTAGACATAGATATAGATGTCTAGCAAAGTTACATCATCTGCGGTGCTTACCCTCAAGAACTCAAGTCAGGGAGAAAGCAGCAGAAATGCAGAACAGGCAAGGACACTGATGAATGTATAAATAAAATATAAATAACACTGTGGAGCTGCTGGGAATAAAAAGAGGAAGACTGCAAACCTTAGTTCTTGCTGATGCAATTCATGTAATCAGGGGCAGGGCAACAGGAATCGCCAGCATGTGAAGCAGTAACCCAAAACTGAAAGCAAAAAAAAAAAAAAAGGAAGAAAGGGAAAAAAAGCAAAAAGTTTTATTTAAATGAATAGAAATATTTACTTCTTTTTTCCTTCTTCTTCTTTTTCTTCTTCTTCTTTTCTTCTTCTCAGACAATTACGGGAAATTTTGCCAGTGTGATTCATGGCTTGAATGCAAACCACTTGACAGACCAAGTCATTCAGAGGAGCAAGCGAATGATTCTGGATACTCTCGGAGTGGGGCTTCTGGGTACCAGCACCGAGGTCTGCCACAAAGTGACACAGTATAGCAAGGTACTGGCATCCATCACATACCCTGTGGGTTAGCTTTAAGAAAAGCAAGGGAAAATTTGGGCTATAAGGGAAAACTTTGTCATGGTGAAATTCTTTTGGGGTTAGAAAGAGAGACAAAGTGTTCTTCCTAGCGGAAGGGAAACTTCATTGCTCCAGTTACTTTTAACTCTGGATGGGCAAAAGTCTGTGTAACAGACTGTATGCTTAGATCCCCCCAGCACAAACACAGTTAATTAAAAACCCTTTCCTTTCTTTATTAAAAACATCAACAAAGTAGACACCACTTATCATCAGACTTTCAAAAAATGAGGGACTGTTAAAGGGGTGGAGAGTTAGTAGTGGGTTATTTCCAGTCCATAAATCATAATTGTTGTCTGAGTTAACACTGGTCATGTTGCTCCTCTGGTCTTGCTCTCCTTGAGAGCTCTCCTCTAGTAGAGGACCACTTGACCCTGAGGAGAAGCATCCCCACCACGAGAGCACATAAATGAAGAGGAGTTTAGCCCACTGTTTTATCAGTCCGACCCGGGCTCCAGAGCTCTATGTGCCAATAAGTCTCTTCACCCTTTTATTTAATTCCATAAAGACCTCTTCACTGGCTGAAAGATCTGCACAGCAAAAGCAAAAGAGCAGAGCCCTTTAACTTCATGGGGATACCAGCATCAGGAGGCCATTTATGATTTACCCAGGACCTACTAAAATATAGAAAACAAGAAACTTTAACTGGAGGTTAACAACAACATGATGACAGTCCTGAGGGAATTGCCAATGGATGGTGAGAAGGGACATCAACAGCCAGAGGCTCTGTGAAGGTATTGAATGGCCAGCTGGATGGTGTTGGTCTGCCCTCTGAGGTCTGTTTGGAAGAAAAGGGCCCTGACATAAGGCAGCAGGAAACCGAGGTTCTTTTCATACTTTCTGAAAGAAAGATATTTTTCACATTAAAGGGAACAGTTGGGTCTTGAGAGGGTATGATCTGATCTCGGTTACATCAGAGGTGTGGCGCACGTTCATCCTTGAGTTCAGGACTTTGAATTAATTGATGTCAATTTGTTTCAGATCTACAGCTCAGATATATCCAGCACCATCTGGGGCCACTTGGATTTCCGACTGCCTCCTCTGTATGCAGCTTTTGTGAACGGAGTGGCTGTAAGTGGTGCTCTTTTATTTGCTCTTAAATCACACTAATTGGTGCCATTCTTGCTCTAGAGAGAACAGAATGCTCCTAAAATCTCAGTTTACTTTATTCTTCTGCCTGAAGCCTGCTACAAAACTTTCCTAGACTGTTCTTCTAATGTACTTCAGCATTCTTCCCGTGAGACCGAGCTCAGGGTGTAATATATATCTGATCCAACTCAACAGCATCCCTTACCTTTAATGTGGGACTTGGGGCTGTTTTCAAAGGTCAGAACTCTGCAGCGTGTTACAACCTTGCTACAGCCACGTTACAAAGAGGTACTCCAGCTCTCAATGATTTCACCAGGATCCAAATTTCATGCCAACTGCCAAATTATAGTTACAGAACAACAGAAATACAGACAGGTGCACATTTACGTACACAGAACCTGGACTAGTGGAAATTGTCCTGCCCGTGGCAGGAGGGTTGGAACTAGATGATCTTTAAGGTCCATTCCAACTCTAACCGTTCTATGATTCTACCATTCTATGATATAATGTCACAAGGCAATTTAATCTTCACTTACGCAGTTTGCAAAAAGCAATTATATATTTTGGACACATACTTCGTCATTAAAGCAATAACCGATTCCCCAGACATTTGTCTAAATTCAGATTGAGGCTGAAATCATTTGAAATTGAAAGATGTACAAGAGGTGGGGTAGACAAATTTGGCAATTATGCAAAACCAGAGAAGGTGACCAACCAAGGAAATGGCAATATTAAGCCTATCTAAATTAGAGTGACAACAAGATCAGAGGTCCAATTTGACACCTCATTTCCAATGTAGAGAAAATTACCTTGGAAATGAGATCTGGTACCTCTCAGCTCCTAGCAGCCAGTGTGACATTCAAATCTGGCTGTTAGCATGTATATGATCATTTCACTTTACAACTTGGTCACAGGTCAATTCTATGCGCTTATTGAAGACGTCAGGAACGCGGCTCACTGGGTATTTGGCACAACTGTCCTTATCCTGCACTGCAGGGCATCTTCCCAGCTGGCATCAAAGTCTTTCAAGGCAGGGACTGGGTTTTCTTCTGTCTGTTTGGAAATGCAATCCTCAGAAGTGCATATTTCCAGTATCACGGGACAGGACAAGACCTTAGCGCTGGGGAGCCTGACCACCTTCCCAGTTTGCTCTGAAGTAAGACATGGGTGACTAGGTGTGAAAGTTCAGCTACTGAGGAATTATTATTAAGTTATTAAAAATGCTGTCCCTGCTGCTCTCAAGTCCTTGGGGGTTCTCAAAACTTGGGGGGCGGGGGGGTTCCAACAAGCAGCCAGGGCTCTGGGCATGGGAAAGAGGAGGCAACGTCTCTGGATCCTCTCAAGGGCTAAGCAGCTCGTCCCAGTTTTAAGGCTGTAGCTTTGTCCTACAGCAACCCCAGGGAGTCTGGTTCCTCGTGTGACTGGTCTTGTTGCTGAAAACCCAGGCTAATGTCTGATCTACGTTTGCAGGCTCATGCCTGTTGCCTGTGGGTGGTCGCAGCAGAGAAGTTGTTCTGGTATAAGGTTGAATTAGCGTTATGGATTCAACTGCTACAGCTTTAATGGTGTGAGTCCTAGTGGTGGCAGCAGCAGTTGCAGCACTGGGGAAGTAACTTCATTATGTTTATGTATTGTTTGGGGGGAAGTGAATATTCACCATCCACATGGTGGACCTAGAACTGCTGCTTTAATCAAATACCAGCTTAATCAAAGCAGCAAAAGCCTATTGTAGGAAAGAAGAATCATTGTCATACTGGTTTTAGACTGGTGCAACTTGAATTAGACTTATACTCCGTTGAGGCAAGATTTCTGTTGCACTGCCACTTCTCACTGAGCTATGTTGGGAGTAACGGTGTTCAAACAAAAGGCTTTTGAAGTTGTGCTTTCTAAGGAAAATCTAGTTCTTCAGTCTTTTTGTTTTCACACCAGTTCCAGTAGTTTAACTTGACTGAGCCAATCTTGCCAAGTCGGAGTTTATTTCTGATGACAAGACTTCTCTTTGCACTAGGTGCACTCCATGGATTTTGACGACACGTGGCACCCAGCCACACACCCGTCGGGGGCTGTGCTCCCCGCCGTCATCGCGCTCGCCGAGGCCTTTCCTCAGGACAAAAAAATCTCAGGCCTCGATCTGCTCTTAGCTTTCAATGTGGGAATCGAAGTGCAAGGCCGGCTGCTGCGCTTCTCCAGCGAAGCCAGGAATATTCCAAAAAGGTACAGAGCAGTGCTTCAAGGTTTTGTGGGGTTTTTTTTCTTGGTGTTAATATACTTAATCAAATGCCAGTTAAAGTACAAATGGCACAGGTATTCATATTTTCCACGTAGTTTGTCTGGAAATTTAGGAAAAGTTCATCTTAAACAAAAATACACTTACGTAACTCCGTACAACTCAGCTAATAGATTTCTTTTTAAGAACATTGCTCCGCTTACAAGGAGGAGGTGATGATCTCCCCGTTGATTAAAACCAGCAGCAAAAAGGCAACGTTTCACGGCACAGGTCTCAGGCTCTATGAACACATACAATCAGTGCAATCAGTGGCTTGCTCTCAGCAGAATGGAGCCACCGGGGCTGGGCTCAGAAGATGGGGTGTACTCAGGGGGAAAGCCTTAAAGTGTGGGATGGACTAGACGTCTTCTTGGTATTTACTGTATGCCCCTTCCACCAGTTCTGCTAAACTGGTGCAGAATAACACAACTTGCCTCCCCCAATATCTATAATTTGCAAGCGACTATAAATTCTTTACAGATAATTTATAGATGACTATAAGCCGTGATGGTTTTGCCATTATCCTGTTCAGTGTGGCTTGAACTCTGAGCAGTCCTAACGTTTCAATTGCTTTCTGGGGAAGACCTATATATAAAACCTATTTTAGTGGTATTATTCCAGTTTAACTTGTTCTTGGGGAAAAGTGACAAGTTTTTCCGTGAGGACCTCATGTGAATTCTGAACGTGCGTTTCTTTATGGTCCAAGCTATCTTCCAGAGCGGTGAAAGGAAAGCCTATATCGTGTATATTCGGGTGACTTTTTGAAATATGATAGTGAAGAGATTTTGTTTTCTCAGGTTCCACCCCCCGACTGTGGTTGGCACGATGGGGAGTGCAGCAGCTTGTGCCAAACTTCTAGCTCTTGACCGGCCAAAATGTAAGAACGCCCTGGCTATTGCTGCCTCCTACGCAGGTGCCCCACTGGCTAACGCGGCAACCCAAACGAAGCCCCTCCACGTGGGCAACGCCGCCAAGCACGGACTGGAAGCGGCGTGCTTAGCATCCCAGGGCCTTCAAGGGAACAAACAGATCTTGGACATGGAGTCGGGGATGGGTGCCTTTTACACAGACTACAGCCCACAGACTCTGCCAACCTTGCAGTCCTACCCTTGGCTGTTGGACCAGCAAGACGTGGCCATCAAACGCTTTCCCGCCCACCTTGGAACGCACTGGGTGGCCGATGCGGCGTCTTCTGTTAGGAGGAAGCTTGTGGGGAGCAGCGACGGCTTGCTGCCCCTTGATAACATTGAGAAGGTCGTTCTCAAAGTCCCAGAGGTCAAATACGTGAACAGACCCAGCCCTGCCTGCGAGCACGAAGCCCGACACTCCTTCCAGTTTGTTGCGTGCTCTGCTCTGCTGGACGGCAGCATGTCAGTCCAGTCCTTCACCAGTGAGAAGGTTCACCGGCCGGCCTTACGGGAGCTCCTCCGCAGAACGCAGCTGGAGCACCCTCCAGATAACACCCCCAGCTTTGAGAGCCTTTACTGCGAAGTGAGCGTCGTGCTTCGGGACGGCAGCACCATCAGCGACCGCTGCGACACGTTCTACGGCCACTGGAGGAAGCCTCTGGAAAAGGAGGACTTGGAGAAAAAGTTTCAATCCAACGCCTCCAGCGTCCTGCCCCCAGAAGCCACAGAAGGCATCATAGAGACCGTGTACAACCTGGAAAAAGTAGAGGACTGTTCCGTATTAAGTATGTTTTTATCAGGACGGTGGGCCAGAGCGCTTTCGGAGAAGCTGCACCTCATTTGAACGTTCCCACCAGCACCCACATGCTGTTCCTAAGGCAAGCACCGAATTGAGGACAAACTCTCATTTAGTGACTCAAGCACTTTTAAATGGGGCTCCTGTAACGCAAGAGCCACGCTCAGTCCAATCTTGTGTTTTTTCAACTAAGTAAATAATTTAGCGACTGCGTGCACAGCTCAGCCGGGCTGAACAGCAGATCCTCTGCTGGCACCACTCGACTTCAATTATCTTTGTACCTCCAGAGGCAGAGCGCTGCCTGTGCGCGACGCAAAAATTTCCCTGCTCTTCTGCCAAAAATAACCACCCAAGTCTGTTCCGCTTCTGTTAAATAACTCCACCAAGGAAATCCAGATTCTGGAGGAGTATGAAAATGCTGTCACCGTGAGAAGGACAGAGGATTGAAACCTTTATCTGTTTGTTCCTGCAGATTTAGCTCCAAAGCCTCCTTGGAGAGGCCACCTGCTACGTCAGGGCTTTGACGGCAGTGCTAAAATAAAGGCGGCGTACAGACAGAGGAGCAGCACTTGAGCCACCAAGCTGGTGAGGGGCCTGGAGAACAAGTCCTATGAGGAGAGGCTGAGGGAACTGGGCATGTTTAGTTTGGAGAAGAGGAGGCTGAGGGGAGACCTCATTGCCCTCTACAACTACCTGAAAGGAGGTTGTAGAGAGGCAGGTGTTGGCCTCTTCTCCCAAAGGACGAACGACAAGACCAGAGGAAATGGTCTGAAGTTGCAGCAGGGGAGATTTAGATTAGATATTAGAAAGAACTACTTTACCGAGAGAGTGGTCAGGCACTGGAACAGCCTGCCCAGGGAGGTGGTGGAGTCACCATCCCTGGAGGTATTTAAGAAACGTATAGACATGGCTCTTCAGGCTCTTCAGGGCATGCTCTAGTGCCCAAGGTTATTGGTTTATGGTGAGGTGTTGAGTGTGGGGTTTAGTTGGTGGGTGCGGTGTTTTTGGTGGGCGTTTGTTGTGGTGTGTTTTGAATTTGTTTGGTGTGGTTTTTTGGGGGTTTTTTTGTTTTGGTTTGGTTTTTTTTTTTGTGGTTGGACTTGATGATCTCAGAGGTCCCTTCCAACCACTAAGATTCTGTATCATCAGCGGCGTGTCCAGCTTTGCTGTGAAGGTTGGTCTCACACTGACGAGGTAAATCCTTCCTGCTGACAGCAGCTGCAGAGCAAGGAGGGGGACAGCTCCACACTCCTCCTCACAAAAGCGCGGTTTCCCAGTTCCATCGTTCGGCTGCCCGGTGGTTACAGCTTTGTTCCTGCTGCATTCCCGCCCCAGTTAACAAGGTGCTCGCTCAACAACACATGATGGGCTCTAATTAGCGACGAGACAATTAGATTACTTCAGGCGCTGCAAAGCACGGGCCACGGGACGCTCCTTATGACTGACAGAGACCTGTGAGCATCAGAACGTTTCTTATGCCGAGACAATTAAGGGTCCATGGTGACAACCAACTTGCCTTCATAATGAATTCTGGGAATTTTCAGTTCCTTCAGGAGTACAAAGCCTTGCCCCATCCTGCTTCTAAGAGAGGCTGACGACCTTTGCTCGTGTTTATAAGAGTAAAGCACGTATTCTAACATATATAAAATATACCTTCCTGGGAGCATTAAAATATGTACATAAAAGAAATCACAAAATAAAGTTAATTCATTTTACTAACTGAACCTCAAATTATGTCATTTATTAGAGCAAAACTTGTGTATTTTCCAAATGCAATGTATTGATTTGTGCTTAAACTGACTTTATAAACCAAGAGCCAGAGGCTTCTCTAGGAGGGTCTGCAAAAATTTCAGAAGTCCGTTAGTTATACTCACTTAGAGACTTGCAAGGGAAGGAAGAAGAAACCCAAATAACCATATTCTTTTCTTTTTCCCTTCTGATTAGAAAGTAGAATTGAATTACTCCCCTATACTGAAGGGACACAAACCCATTCACAGCTATTCTGATCAACACCTATAAATATTTAAAGGGAGGGTGTCAAGAGGATGGGGTCAGTCTTTTTTCAGTGGTGCCCAGTGACAGGACAAGAGGTAACGGGTGCAAACTTGAACATGAGAAGTTCCATCTAAACTTGAGAAGGAACTTCTTCACTTTGAGGGTGGCAGAGCACTGGAACAGGCTGCCCAGAGAGGTGGTGGAGTCTCCGACTCTAAAGAGATTCAAAACCCACCTGGACACATTCCTGTGCAACCTTCTCTGGGTGGACCTGCTTTGGCAATGGGGTTGGACTAGATGATCTCCAGAGGTCCCTTCCAACCCCATATCATTCTGTGATTCCATCTTTAATTATAGCTGGGTAACACCAAATGGGAATTACTGGTAATCATTAGTGATGCGATAAAACCCCACTGGACAAGGAGGGATCCTACATTATCTTTATCAAGACCGAATGCACTCAGATTCATGAGGGGAAAAAAAAAAAAGGGAAAACCCACCACCCCCAACCTTCAACACATGCTTTCTATTTTAAAAGAGAAATAAATAGGATGAATTTAGCAATAACCATTTGATGTATTACAGATTTTTAAAAAAACAAACAACTGTGAAGTTTAAGAGTTGTATTATTTTATTAATACAAAGAAAGGAAACCAAAAGCCTATGCTTAGCTCGTTTGATTTCCTTGCAGAAGGCCGTACGCTTCCAGTCAGGCAAGTTTCAGGACTTCTTGTACCATTGTTCCAATTCCATCAAAGATTTCATGCAGAGGAGCCTTACACATGAAAGCACAAGTAGTAACTATTTTATTGGCTTTATCCACGTGGGATTCATTTACATTTTTGCAAACGTGCTTACATCCAAGCTCTGCTATAGCAGATGCTGTTTCAGCGTCAGGAAATCTGTAAATAAGAGAGATTGTAATTAACATAAAGAGATGATGATACAGCCACAAAGTTCTGCCAACGTAACTTGAATGAGAGAACCGCAATAATATTTAAGTGATTCTCGAGCTGATGATGCCATGGGGGTCAAGCAGACTGACACAGTCAGGTTCTCCCATCCTCTATGGGCACAACAGTGATCTGATTTCTTTGAAAACAACACCTGAAATGCAGAGCCACAGTACAGAAAGTACAATTCTCCTTTTAACAATCTTTCAGTAAGTTCACAAGATGATAGCAAGCACAGCCCTAACATCCTCAAAAGTGTGGGAGATGCCAACTGAACTTGCTGGCTGAACATTAGACCTTCTCCAACACCTCCATATAAGGCTTTTCACTGGGATTCTGCAGATTTTTTTTTTTTTTTTCATGAGGAGAAGGCAGGAACAGGGGGCCAGAGGCAATCCCTCACTGCTGCTGCTGATAGGAAATTCCATTCCAAAGTTTTAAGGAGACCTGACAGTCCTTGAAGCAGCACTGACTTCTGCAGCACTGACTTCTGCCAGGCCCTGTGCTCACCTGCTTCCCCTAAACTGGCCCCAAACCACTACTGCCAGAAAAACTTTACTACAAAAATATTCTCTTGAACAGAAAAAACCCCATAGATGCAATTTAAAACAGCCACTCAAATTACCACAGACTACCAAACTTTTTGAAGGCCAGCTGGCCAGGCTCCTATTCTTCATTTGCACATTTGCAACACGAATCACGGCCTTCAAAGGCACCGGGTAAGCAAATTCTGTCTCTCTCTTAATATGAGCTAAAATCTGTCACTCAATTACCATGAACGTAACATAAAAAAAAATTACTTGATGTGCTTGGTCACCTGCATGTTTGCAGAGGTAGGATTCTGCAAAAGTCTCTTTGTTCTGTCACTTTTAGGACTGACGGATGCTACAGCCAGTGAGTCATTAGTCATGACCATCAGGAAGAGTGTGACCAGCAGGTCGAGGGAGGTTATCCTCCCTCTCTCCTCTGCCCTGGTGAGGCCTCATCTGGAGCACTGTGTCCAGTTCTGGGGCCCCCAGTTCAAGCACAGGGACTGCTGGAGGGGGTACGGCAGAGGGCTATAAAGATGATTAGGGGCCTGGAGTATCTCCCTTATGAGGAGAGGCTGAGGGACTTGGGTCTTTTTAGTCTGGAGAAGAGAAGGCTGAGGGGGGATCTGATCAATGCCTATAAATACCTAAATGAGGGGTGTCAAGAAGGGGACAGTCTTTTTTCAGAGGTGCCCAGTGACAGGACAAGAGGTAATGGGTGAAAACTTGAACATAAGAAGTTCCATCTAAATATGACGAGGAACTTCTTCGCTTTGAGGGTGGCAGAGCACTGGAACAGGCTGCCCGGGGAGGGGGGTGGGGTCTCCTTCTCTGGAGACATTCAAAACCTGCCTGGACACGTTCCTGTGCAACCTGCTCTAGGTGGACCTGCTTTGGCTGGGGGGTTGGACTAGATGATCTCCAAAGGTCCCTTCCAGCCCCATGTGATTCTGTGATTAGCACCTACAAAGCACAATAAAGCCACTCCAGGAGTGGCTGGAGCCCATGTTACCTTCAGTGGCTCACAGAATGATGGCTTAGGCAAGAGATAAGGCTACCTACAGTTTTCAGACTATTAATTGTCATGGGTCTGTGGATGTTGACATCATGGAACATATCACAGACCAAAGTATTTCTGAATTTAGGGCTAAATTTTCCAACATTGTAGCATGCAACAAGTCACCTGACCTCACACAGTCAGTCCATCTGCCCGGAGAGTTCTGCGCCTACTATTATTATGCAAGTAAAAATTTGAAATAAGTGAAAAAATGTCACTAATAAGTTACCTAAGGTTTATTGGCACCAGGGACCTCAGTCTTTTGCACAGAAGACTGGCCATTTCCTAATCCTAATTCCCATGTAAATTATCTCCACCCATTTCCTTCTTACCTTCCATCTACGTTTTTATCTTGGCCGACTGTGACCTCACAACCAGGGAAGACTTTAGCCGCCAGGACTGGCGATATACAGCACAGGCCAATGGGCTTCTTAGCGCTGTGGAAAGCTTGGAGTGTGGCCTTCACCTGCTCGTTGACAGTACAGTTCTTGCCATCTACAGCCCAGGAACACAGGTTCTATAAGTGAAAAAATGTCACTAATAAGTTACCCAAGGTTTATTGGCACCAGAGACCTCAGACTCTTGCACAGAAGACTGGCCATTTCCTAATCCTAATTCCCATGTAAATTATCTCCACCCATTTCCTTCTTACCTTCCATCTACGTTTTTATCTTGGCCGACTGTGACCTCACAACCAGGGAAGACTTTAGCCGCCAGGACTGGCGATATACAGCACAGGCCAATGGGCTTCTTAGCGCTGTGGAAAGCTTGGAGTGTGGCCTTCACCTGCTCGTTGACAGTACAGTTCTTGCCATCTACAGCCCAGGAACACAGGTTCTTTGCTACACCAAAACCACCTAAAAAAAACACCAAAACAAACCAAACCAAAAAGCTCAAGTGTAAGATAAGACTGTTAAGTTAGCACACTGAAAGTTTTCAGAACGTGAAACATGATGGGTTGACAACGTTAAAAGTTTTAACTGTAATATTTTACAACACATATGTTACAGAGGCCAGAAAGCTTAACCCTGCCCCAATGAGCAACAAACAGACAAAGAAGAAATCTCACATTCACTGGCTCGTCACTGAAAAAGCTGCACTACCTGACATGCAGCCCTCCATAAGCAAGAGAGGGATCAGAAGACAGGCCAATGACAGCTAAAAGTAGAAGAGTGAATTTACCAGAATAATGCAAACAGTGATTTGACCCACTACAGTATTTCACTCTCAAGTTTTGCTTCAATACTTAAGCAATTACAGAAGAGGTTTTCCTCCCTGGAATTATTTTTTAATTTAAAAATAACAATAAAACCAAAATGCATATTACATAAAAAGGCAATGATAACATCTGATATTGAGACATACCACTGATCTACCAATGATAACACACCAATGATAACATAATTTCCTATTAAAAATAATGCTGAGTTTGCTTTCTAGAAATTAGATGCAACTATCCTTTGCTTGCATTTAATCTTCATTTAATTGCATGAGAAGATTATGCTTTACAGCGCCTTCATTTGCTGGATTTATAACCATCAAAATGATGAAAGTAAGGTTATTAGTAAGTGTAACCATCCATTATATTTGATTCCTTACGGAATGTGCAGAACACCAACTTTTCTGCAACAAACAAACAGAAATTTCCACAAGTATTTAAAGGGACAACATCAAGAAGCGTTGCATTTTTAATATTTTTCCTTCCACTCTTTGCTCACTTTCGAGTTTTATCTGGAATCTCTGAGGTAAGATTTTAATTTTCAAACTTAATAAGGTTTATTTGCCTCTAATAGTTATTACAGCAACCCCCCTGAGTCTGGGTTATAACAGCATGAAATTAAAGTGGAAAATATTTGCTAGCCTCCCCTCCGTGATCAGCCCTGATGTCACCCACTCATTTTAGCACTGGAGTATGTTTCTCTGCGTTACACACGCTCCCTCTGCTGGCCCCACAACACGAGACAGCGTTAACAACTTCAGCATCAAGGCTTGGGCACCATCGTGAAGGCAGCATTTAACAGTACTATGAATATTCTGGAAAGCGACCTTCAGCAAGTCATAATTTCCTCGTGACGCTCTGGTTTCTTCCTTTCTAAAGTGATTACAATTACCTCCGTCTGAAAGGCAATTTTGTGGTCTATAAATAAAAGATTATCTATAAATAAAAAGCTATCCATAAACATATTTACTTGATCAGTAGCAGACTACATACAAAATTAAAACAAAATGTACTCACATTTGACGGGGAATATAATTTACTTGGCAACCTACTATTCTGCCAACAATTTTGGAGGCCCTAAAAATAAAGCATTACCACGCAATGTCAAGTTTTGGCCTTAGTTTTCTACTCTGGACAGTGTTCTTGTCCACAAGTAAGTGTTAAAGTTTTCACAATCTTTAGAATGAAGGAACGGTGTGATGTATGACCTAACACCAAAAGAACATTCTGGCATTTTAAATTAACTAACTATAAATTGATAAATAAACTGAGATGACTTGTCAGCCCATATGACTTGTTTAGCCCTTGCTAAAACATTTTCTCATCCTCAAAAGAAAATAAGTAACAATGGAAAAAAACACACACCTCTCAAATTCAAGAATATAATTTATTCTCTAAACAGATTAAAAAAAAAAAAAAAGAAAAAAGTAGCAGAGGCAATGCAATTATTTGCAATTGAAAAAACACAAATTATTTTCTTTTAAAAGCACTTACCAGGGAAAATTACCGCATCAAATTCACCAGCTTTCAGTTCAGCCAAATCCTGAATGTTTCCTCTTGCCAATCTGGCACTTTCAACCAATACATTTCTCTTCTCTTCTGCTGGACTTCCCTTTAGGTGATTGACTACATCCCTTTGCTCAATATTGGGGGCAAATATCTTCACCTAGAAAACAGAGATGAAGCAATTTTGCGAACATAAACAGAATGCATATGTATTGGTCACAATAAAGATAATTTAATCAAAACATATTTGTTCCTGAAGTTTCTTATCCAAGAGAAATGGATTCCACGGGGTGGATCTATTGTATTAAATACCTAACGCAACAGGTAACGTATTAGGATGGGTAAACCCAGCCATCCTCCCCCTCCTATTCCTGCAGCTTTTTGACAGGACTGCACTCTTATGCCAACATTAAGCTTACTGATTTTGCCAGGGCCTGCCTTCCCTCTGCGGATAACCCCAAGGGCAAACAGGGCACCACAATTTACACCAGCGACTCGACTGGACGCACAGCTGAATCTGCAGAAAGGTTGCTCTTAACTGTTATGGGATGCAAGTGCTAAAAGAGTTTAAAAGATAAAGATGCAAACTTTACAAGCATTTCCCATGCAGACATTAGAGTTACTCACTCTCTCCTGAACAACCAGTAGCAGGAAGGAAAAACAAAACATGGAAGAACCTATTTTGGTTAGGCACACAAGGGGAAAGCTGCAACAAAAATATAAAGTTCTGTGAAAGCTGTACCGCAGGAGCCGTTTTCACACATCTGTTTTGATGCTTGCTTTGCAGACTTCTCAGTGCTCCCTGCTTCCACTAATTTTAGAGAGGACAACTTTGTGCTAAATATGGGGTGTCATTATCAACCAGTCACCTGAGTGCAGCTGCACTCGGACAGGAGGTGACAACCTTCCACCATCTGAAGACACAGACAGGACCAGAGCACACCACCACATCCCCATCCAGGCTTCTCTGAGGAACCTCAGTTACTGAAGAAGCCCAGAAACAGCTAGCAGAAAACAAGCAGGTGAACCCCAGTGAGGGCGAGTACCTGACTTCTGCAAAAGCAATCAGAAAGCAGATCAAGAATTATTAGGTGAGCCCCATCTGCTGCTCGAAGATGGTCAGGGGGACTAGAGCACCTCTTATGAGGAAAGGCTGAGAGAACTGGGTCTGTTTAGCCTGGAGAAGACTGAGAAAGATCTCATCCATGCTTTTAAGTATCTAAAGGGTGGATGTCAAGAGGATGGGGCCAGACTCTTCTCAGTGGTGCCCAGTGACAGGACAAGGGGCACAAACTGGAACACAGGAAATTCTGTTGTCTCATCATGAGGAAAATTTCTTTACTTTGAGGGTGACAGAGCACTGGAACAGGATTCCCAGAGAGTTTGCAGACACTCCTTCTCTGGAGACATTCAAAACCCACCTGGTTCCTGCCCAACCTGCTCCAGGTGAAACCTGCTTTGGCAGGAGGGTGGGACTAGGTTACCTCCTGTGATTTTCTGTGACAGAGGAGCAGGGCAAGGCCTCCCGCCACTCCTCCCTGTCTCAGCCGCCTGCGAGCGACCCCTCCTCCCGTCAGGGGGCACATTCACCTTTTCGGGGAGCGGGGTGCAAACAGCAAGAGAGGGATTAGACACGGAGAGGGGTTATGGCTGAACTGGCTTTGGGCGGGGGTCCCTCGGCCGCTGAGAGGCGCAGAGAGAAGGGGTAGACGTACCTCCCCCCCGGCCAGACTCCGCGCAGGCCCCGCGGCTCCCCCCCTCCTCTCCCCGCCCCTACCTCCGCGCCGCCGCGGCTGAGGTGCACCAGGGCCGCCGCCCCCGACTCCGCGCAGGCCCCGCGGCTCCCCCCCCTCTCCCTGCCCCTACCTCCGCGCCGCCGCGGCTGAGGTGCACCAGGGCCGCCGAGGCCTCGTGAATCTCGCTGCCATCGAAGACGCCGCAGCCGGCGAGAACTAAGGCCACCCGCTTGCCCATGGCGCCCGCCCCTCAGGCCGCGGGCAGGAGCTGCTCAAACCGGGGAACCCGAGCCTCGCCCGCACCCTCCCTCCTCCTCCTCCTTCTCCTGCTGCGCCTGCGCCGCCGGGCTCCGCCTCGGCCTACCATCTTGCGGCTGCCCCGCGGGGCTGGTGGAGGCGGCGGGCTGGCAGGGGTTATGGCCGGGGTCTGGGCCTCGTGGCCAGCGCTGCGGGGACTCGGTCTGCCCGGGGGATATGGCTCAGCCTGCGCCATTCCCGGCTGGCAGTTTTATCCCTAAGTGCTCTCCCTCCTGCCTGCAAAATTGGGGGGGGGGGGGTC